ATATTTTCAATTCCTTATTATCCATAATAACTTCATTATTTACAGTACAACGCTTATTTCCCATAGAGGTCTTCATGCATACAGTTTTGAATAAAATCTGGTGTGTAGTTATCCACAATTATTACTGTTTGATTTCATTATTGAAATCTTCTGACTTACGAGCTGGTCTCCTGAATCGACTTCTCACGCAACTAACTGGGTCTCACTTCACCCTGACCATTATCTAAATCAAGAGTGGATTGGATTGCGCATGCTGATCAGTAGTTATGGTGGTGGACACTAAGGTGAATCGCTCCATTCTGCAGGAACAGCATTATGCAATTTGACGGCTCGAGATTTCTATGAGGGCTTGAATCTTTATCTTGAAAAACATAATAAATGATCGCTTGGACAGATCACGCTTCTACCTTTAAACATATACCATTCGGTCAGCCTATTGCTAAGATGCGACCACGTGGGCTCTGCACAAATTTATGCGGCATCTTATAAATTAACATGCTTTCCTTTGACGTATCTTTGAATATCACTTAACAATGTCTCATCTCATTCATTTTCTAATAACGTCTTCACTTGCTCCTAATTATATCCCATTAAACCTAATATTTTATAGCTCTTTATGAATTTGATTCGACTTATTTTATTCCTATTCTGTAAAGGGTACGGTTGTGCACCAAATACACAAAAAGGTATGAAATTAAAACAACCGGCTTGTGGATAATTGTATTAAAACCAAAAGTGGACATCATGATAGTAATACCTACATAGGTAGCATTATACATTGCAAATGAACTTCGTCAGCCTAGGGATTATAGTCTCCCATTGTATTTCCTTTATGAATGCATCTATTAATGATTCATTGCAGTTACCTATTTCATTACACTTTAATGATTCACCTTACCACCTTTACTTTTCTAAAACAGCTTACTATCCCTTGTAAACGTTGTACTTACTTCAATATTGGTTGGTTATCGTATGCTTACAACTACGGGTTGAAAACGAAACAAAGTCGATTTTCCTGCGCAACCTGGAGGATGGCTGTTCAATTCAATAATGATACGACATGGGTCAGACTGTAAAGACAGAAGGCAAAAGTCAGGCAACAGATCATTTATTAAGGAAATCAACGCATATTTATATATCTGCATGTACATTACTATGGATATTTAAGTAAACAAACACATTCTTCCGATTGGTTGTTTCTCACGTAAAGTTAATCTTTCATCTATTGGTGACTGTTTCTTGAATGTCAAATCCTCTATATGTTAACTGCATCCGCCTACGCAAAGTCTGCTGTGGTCGGTTTTGAATCAATCTTTGTTCACATTTTCTCACGACAAATCTTGGGAACGTAAATATTGAAGTAAATTACTGTCTACCAATTTGGTTAGTAGACAGCTCTCACCACATGACATTGAGTGTATATATATATATATATATCAAATGTTTAGCTGTTCAAACATTAACTTGTAGACAATCTACTATTTGTCATTATATCATACTTGATCGTGCCTGTAAAAGTGGCATGCATTTTCATGTAAATTTATGTTTATATGAAAATATAAATTATTATTATTATTAATACAAGTGACTCAGGATGATTGACTGAAAGGAAACAGGTAACAAATTTCGACCAGTTTATATGCAGCCTACATATCTCCAGCATAACCTACGACGATAAGGATTAAAAGGTCTGAGGGTTTCGCGTTCACGACTACGAAAATGACTTTATCAGATATTTGTGATCCAATTGCAGACGTGTAGATTTTTTTGTTTGCTTCAATATTCCGGACGGATATTTGACTACACTGGAGGTCGGGCATAACAGTACACCTAGCAATATCTTATCAACCGAGAATTTCGTACTATTTCTGTGTAACGGATCAATGCTGAGCTCATTCCTCGACTTGAAAATCAACAGGAGTGTCTGATGTTCACTGACATTCAAGTTATATTTAAACACTAATACTAGTAATGCTCGAAGTGTTAGTGGTGTGAGATGTTGTAATAGTTAGATACTAGTACTCATACTAATAAAAGTAGTAGTAGTAGTAGTATCCATAACCTTAGGCGGTGATCGTCAATGATTTTCAATAAACAAACTTAGCATGTCTTCGTATTGACAGTGTGGCGTGATCACATTCCACATTGTGATAAACAATTTCTCTAGTTATTGAACTGGAATCTCTCTTCATCTCATCGTCTTAATTGATTAATTAATTATCAGTTTGTTGACAAGAGATTTTAGAAAGAGAAAAGTGAATTTACCATAAGAATGACCTGAAAGAAAGCGGAAGCATGTTAATGAATCATATGATAATGTGGTGATTAGAAGAAATAAGAGAAAGAGTAATGTCATTGTGTGTATACAATTATGATGACAAAGGAGTATGATGGCCGGATCATTGAGATGCTTGCATTGTGACAGCAGAACACAGAGATATCTGGTATAAGTGTTGTTCATTTGGCATGCTGACATAATGCGAGGACAGACTGTGAGAAGCCTACATTGAAACTCCACTTGTTGTAGTTTAGTCATATTCTGCTATCTCCGTCCATGCTTTATCTTCTGTACATTCCCTCCTTATTATCTAGATCGTTTTGTCTCTACAACGAAATCGGTGGCTCCACTGTTCGAGAATCCCACAGAAGACGACACCAATATTCTACTTACACGTTATTTTCTGCAGGAGGATATCCACTCTGGCATTATATGTGGACGTGCTTTCAAGCCATCTAAGGGAGACGTTGCTTATTATCACCAATGATATTCCTAATTGTGCTGGACTGGATTATGCGTCAGACAGTGGGAAACGAGAAGACAGGGATATCCTGGACCGACGCGAAGAACCTAGAAGACCTGGATTTTGCGGATGATTTATGCTTGATGTCACACAAAATCCAAGACTTACAAGCAAAAACCGACAAACTGGTCGAAGAAGCAGCAAAGACAGGACTCCAGGAGAACATAGACAAGACGGGGGTCATGAAAATAACCAACCAACAACAACAACAACAGCAGCAACATCCAGTGCCAATCACCATCAACGGGAGGGATTTGAAAGAGGTTACTTCTTTCACTTATCTGGGGAGCATTGTCTCAACCACAGGAGGAACGGACGAGGATGTCAAATCGAGGATCGGGAAGGCGAGAAACACATTCATCAACCTGAAACCAATCTGGAAATCTTCGTCACTCACCGTCAACAACAAAATTCGGATTTTCAATACAAACGTCAAGTCAATTTTGCTTTACGGATCAGAAAGTTGGCGGGTCACCAAGAATATTTTCAACAGGTTGCAGACCTTTATCAACAACTGTCTTCGCTCCATACTGAAGATTATATGGCCGGAAAGAATCACAAACAAGAAACTATGGGAACAAATGAAACAGGAACCAATCGCCCAACAAATATGCAGGAGAAAGTGGAGATGGATTGGACACTCGCTGAGCTGAGGAGGCCGTTGAGTGACATCGCACGTCAAGCCCTCGAGTGGAACCCGAAAGGGAAGCGGCGAGTGGGACGTCCAAGGGTGACATGGAGGAGATCGTGTGAGGAGGAGATGAAACAGTATGGAATAACATGGACGCAAGTGAAAAGTACAGCACAAGACAGAAGCAAGTGGAGACGTGCAGTTGAAGCCCTATGTTCCACTAGGAACCCAAGGGAACAATAAATAATAATAATAAAATAAGGGAGACGTATCATTCAATCGGTTCCAACTTGTGTATTTCAATCAGATTCTTGATCACCATTTTCGGCATCAAGTGGGCCACATACTGTTATGTGAACACTCTTCGATTCCGGAGGAAACTACGGTGAAATCATCACTTTGAATTATACGAATTCCTGTGCAATCGGCCACATTTCGAATGAATCAGCATATTGTGAATTCGGTTTCTGATATCACATGACCAGTCACATAATTACCTCGAAACGGACTGGTTCCAACTGATTCGTCTCTCAGAATATTGTTGGCACATACGATGAACAACGGGACAAATTCCATTCTGAATTCTGTTTATCATCGCAAAGTTGGTCCCTTGTATCTGTTAATACCAAAATAATGCTGTACTTACCCTCTACTACTGTGGAGTTTTATACATTTTTGAACCCTTACTAATTGATAAAATGATAATGATCACAAGGCCTGTACCCTGTATGTCTTACTCTGGCACCTGCTTATCACCTCTCTTCTTACTTTCCATTAACGCAACATTTCCTAATTCCCTCATGAATTTGACTGACTATAAGTATTTTACAGGTTGATCACGGACTGATATCAGTTAGAGAACCATTGAAAACCAGGGAGTACTGGACAGCTGCTGTTGGGGTCGCGCTAAATCACGAATTGGTAGAAGTTAGAATTCATGAGTTAGCCACTGAATCAGGTCTCAGAGGCTGAGTGGTATACGAGCTTAATGGTCTTGTAACCGGAAGGTCCTGGGTTCGAATCCCAGTGGGTGCGTACTGCCGACGATTCCCAAACTAGGATGAAACAGCAGCTGTCCAGTACTCTCTGGACTGATATCAGTCCGTGATCAACCCGTAAAAACATAACAAACCCTTACAAACCAAACTGTAGATGACTATAAGTATATTATAGATTATAATTTAGACTTGAACCAATATATTGTAATCTATTCTAACAAAGTTTCTAGAGGTTATTTTTCCATCTTTCCAATTTTTAATGTCAAATAACAGTATTCCATTTCATATATATATATAAATATATAATATTTTTTTTTCACTTACACCAAATGCATCATTGTACACGAATAAGAGAGACTGATGGATTCTTCCATGCAAACGACGAAATAAATAACCCTTAAAGATTTAACTTATACCATCCATAAAAATCTTTTTAATCATGATGTTGGTTTATTCTTCTTCGAAAAACCATTACAGCAACAAGAATATTCACAGTTTCCGGAAACAAACGTCTTGAGGATTTGAAAAGAAATCATTGTATTATCGAAGTATCAAAAACAACAATAAACACCCATATATTGCAAAATAAAAAGTCAAACATTCTTTTAGCAGTATTGCTTAGGGATAAAATCCTCAGTCCCACGTGCTTAGAGAGGGTATCAGAAGATTCCGTGTTGTAGATTCCACAAGTGAATACTAAATGTAGTTCCAGGTGACACAATACAATCCTTGGAAAGTATAGATATGTGGATGATGCGAGGAAAACGTCTATTTTCCAGAAGAATAAGGAAATATGATTCACACAGCGCAACCACACTTATACTATTCATAAAAATGTTTTTAAACATGATGTTAGTGTGTTCCTCTTGAAGAAACTGGATATCATGGAAACCATGACCTGTTAGGCAGTTAGCATTATCTTTTAGTTACCTTTAAAACTTAAAAATCATCCAACCTACAAAAAGAACATCTGATGCTTCTCGAGGTCAGTGGGTTTTGAAATTCACATTTAGAAGTTCATTGAAATTATGAAAGGTAATAATATTTTTTCTACTGTAACACCAAACTTTATGAATTATAATTCAGAAGAAGAACAAGTGAAATATTGTTATTGAATAAGCAAATTTTAACGACCTGCAAAACAAATGTTGGTTTATAGAAGCGAAAATTCACACGACAAGTTTTGTGCCGATGAAAGGGGAAAAAATAACTACTTCTACTCAAAGGAAAATTGTTTCTGCATATTTTGTTTGCAATCCTTCACACAATCAATTGTCTTACAGACCCCAAAACCAATTCCACATATCTTCAAATATGTCTGATGAAGAGGATGGAGTATCTTCTGAATAATCAATTGCAGGCGCTTCTGTTGTTCTTGCAGACATTTTATATTTATACTCTGGTACAGTGAATGAATCTCTACAAAGCTTCTGTTGATCAATCTGTTTCCGGTAGTCATTTTCAACGTGTCCATTAACTGTATACATATACGTTTGGAGATCATTTGCATATTTCGCAGGACAATCGACAAGTGTTGAATGCTCATTGAAACAGAACACTATTTCGTCGAGGAAAATTCCATTAAACTGAAATGAGAAGAGGAAAAGAATAAAGAAGAAATTAGGTCTTCCTATTCAACGAACTCATATTAACAGTCATTCTGTCTATATAAGTAGCAGTTGAAATGCGAAATTCTACTGACATACAACAGCCTACATCATCACTTTCAGTGACAGCCTACTATCGCTTTCAGGATATTGAAACAAGATCGTGAAATAACAATATTAAATATTATACATCTACTGTAGATAACAATAATAGAAGACAACAGGTTGAATACCTACATCGACAACTTCCCTGGCTCCTTGCTGAAGTGCACACGTCCGAACACGACGTATGGTCAGCAACAAGGAAATACGTTAGAGAAGCAGCCATCTACCTATCGCTTAACAAATATAAAGAGTTGGAAATGATGACGGTTTGGGCGTCACGTCCTGTAAAACAGAAAGAAAGGTCTGCCTGTTGTGGGCTATTGTTGGGCTTCACAAAAGTGGCAGAACAAAACTCATCAGAGCAGAGATGTTCCACTCAAAAGGCAAGCAGTGAACATTGAAAAAATTATAAACAATCTCAAATTCAACTGAATTGCGTTTCTAGAACCAACTTTGATCTCGTAATTTAGAAAATCATTGTTCACTTGTCAGTTGACGCAACAAGGCTGATTGGGAAAATACCATCACAATGTGTTACATGCAATAACAGCTGTCATAATGACAAAAGAAACATTTATACGAAGAAAAATTGCTTGTCACTCACCTCATCAGCAGCACAGATGACTTTAGGTTGAGCATGATACTGGTTTAACAACGAATGCTCAAAATCTTTGGTCTAATCAAGGTAAAAGATAAAATGAATTCATGGCGAATTATTAGTACTTTGTCAAGTAATAGAAAATCAATTGAAAATCTTTGAAAAAGTGTCTTCACGTCATACGTGGTATTCCGTTAAGGTTTTGACAACAGATTAATAGGTATCTGTTAGGAAGGCTATCACTGACTGACTGACTGACTGACTGACTAGCCGATTAGAATGCTAATGCATCTGACACACCAGCCTGGATAGGACGAAACACCTCTCCTGGATTTCGCTGCTGACTACCACTAACTAAATAACATCAACGTTTAAGCAACAAATATTATTAACAAAGCAGGACTTGTTGGATTCATTAAATCCCAGTGGAACTCTTCAGCTGAATACTCTACATACCAGCTTATATGTGTATGCCGTTTGAAGCAATTACGTCTGATGATACGAGACTGATAACCTAACGAACTGCACTGAATCAATCGTGGAAAACGATAGATTGGAGTGTTTTTCAGATCATGTTCGAATAGATAAGGGAGAGGGAGTATGAGAGTTTAAAATTAAGATAAAAACATGCCTATGATCAAACATTGTCATCTGAAGGATAAATCGTGCAGCATTCATGACACCTCTGCAAAAACAGATTAACATTGATGAATATACATAGAGGAATGCCAAAGTGGTTGGATCGCGGATGCGAAAATGATGATAAGAGCGTGTTGAAATCGGTTGACCGCAATCGCCCCCAACACCCGTACTTCTATTGATAAATTCAACATACCAAATACTAGCACAGTGGTTATGTGAATTATCACAGCCTTTGAGGAAACGCTTCGGAACGTATATTGTTTCTGAGTCATTCCAGCATGTAAAGAAAACTGCGAATCTCAATGTAACCGGTAAACATCTTGTCTCTTTCCATGTTGCTTCCCTACTGACATACCCTTCAGTCATTGAGAATATTGACTTTATGTAAATAGGATCCAATGATATAACCATTTCAAAATCAGAATCGAGGGGATTGTTGTTTTTGTGCACTTAAAATATCCAATATCCATTCAGTGAGCGTTACATGAAATTGATGGTATTGCAATTATAACCACTTTTTGTAGATGTATTCTTGTCAGACCTTCAGGTCGATGATATACAACAGTAAATACAATAAAGGGAATTATATCCATGATATGTCGGTGATATATACCTATTGTCTGTAACAGTAAGTCAAAAGTTGAGAACTCATTGATAAAAATCAGATCATGCCATTCAAGCATTAACTTTTTAATGAAGCACGTAGAAAATACCACAATTAACTTCCTAGAAGTCTCTTTAGTGACTGAAAAGACTGATGGCAAAATGGAAAGATATAAGCTTTGAAAGACTTCCTAGACTGAGCAGTACATCCATGTCAGAGCTTTTGTTCTCATCAAATGTGGAAAGAACTTAGTCAGGACACTGTTGAATGCAGCGCAAGAAATCTGTTCTGACAGTACAATTCAAGATGAAATAAAGACTGTGAAGGATATTCTGTCTAAGAATTGATATCCTGACAGGTTCATCGATAAATACGCTAAAGGAAGAAATAAGCCCGAATAAAGCTATCCAACGAAACTGATTCAGAGGAATCTACATACATCAATTGGCCATTTAAAAGAGATGGTGTACAAGAAAGGTTAAACGAAAACTTGATAAGGCTATCAGGAAAACTTAGTGTGCTGCAGAAGTCTTCCCCCATAACACCACCGAGTGGATGCTTCAACGATCTGGGGGAGGCCAGTCATCAGTCACCGACACGTCAGACCACGTTTATCAATCTGAATTTGACTGTGGAAGAAAATGCATCGGTCGAAGGGAAAGGCAATTTTCTGCTGGCATGATGAAACATTTGCTAAAGTGGCTGGAAACGCATGAGGTCAAAGTGCCTGATAGTTGAATGACATAGCACCTTTCGACTATGGATGTGATTCTGATGCTATCAAGTCATTCACTGTTGTCAGCAGACAACTGCATCTGATCTAACGCTTTTCAAGTTACACATTTTTATACTTTAAATTCATCGCATAGAATTGAAATTATCTTACTGAGTAAGTTTCACCACCTTTGATCGATATTCTGTCATCCATTGCATTTCAATAAAGGGGAAATAAAACAGTGTCTCATTAGTTTAGATAAGGATGAACGTTTATTGATGCAGTGAAACTGTAATTAATGGATGCTCAACAGTTAATTATTCCATAATATTTCTGTTATGCTAAATCACTGAAAACTACTTTTGTTCAAATCACATTTGAATGCCTTGGATTCATGTTGAGTTTGGTACCCGTTTCCTGTTGTTGTTTTAATTCAGTTACAATATTTGTAGGCACTTTATTCAAACTATCCGTCTTATAGTGTTAGAATGGACATTGTCACTAGTCAGTGTATGGTATGTCGGTTGTCAGCCGACCATGACTGAACGAAGACGACATATTTTTCAGCCATTCAGACGCAACATAATGACTGATAATTCTGTCTTCTGAATAACTCAGCAGCAAGCTGGTTACTTCCAGTCCTAAACATTCAGTCTTCACCTAGACTAAACGTCGTATCACTGAATTTGTATCGGCGAATTGTCAATCGATCAGAAGACAGCTCACACTCAATAAACATGCAAGTGATTGATCACGTAAATCAGCTATATAAATAGCCGTATTTATTTGATTGGCACCTGTCTCTTTCCATGATGACTCACTTCTGCCTCCTCAACTAGCCTTTGGTTTCTTCTGTGTGCGTGGGGCAGGTAATCCATTGATGAGTAATATGCTGTCGTCGTTTGGAGTACTGTGGACTACGAAGTGCAGCCTTTCTGTATCTAAGACTGTCCGATTAGAAATGTCTTGAATTAAGTGTTATCCAACGACACCAAACTTATCTATATCATATTCTTCAGTCTTGAATGAAATAACTTGTCTCAGAATGCATACACGCATTTGGCGGTTTGGTGACGAGTCGACATCAGTTAGAGAAGTATTGGCGAACCATGAGAAAGTACTGAACAGTTATGTCGTCTTAGTACTTGAGACTGAGTCTTCACAGTACGCACACACCAACAGGGTTCAAACCCGGGACCTCCTGATTACAATGCGAATTCGTGGGCCATCCAACCTGTAGGACCATATTCGATAGTCATTCCACGAATTCAAACTTCTTCTGATTCGCGAGATATATAGTGCAGTCGTATGCGCACTGTTACAGGCAAGCAAGTGTATTCTTACTTTGTACCGGGAGGGTCCTTGTTTCTAAGTACTGTCGGTATGTGTGTACTGGCGAAGAGTCAGTGTCAAGCACTAAGACGAAGCAACTTTTCGCTACTCCCTGGTAGTTTTGCAATGCTTCTCTAACTGGTATCAACTCAGGACGTCATCAAAGCTGTAACCAATCAAATCCCTTCAAAGCAACACCTAATTATATACACATTTCTCGATCATATCATTTGTGTTTAGAAAAAGCCTTCTCATGCACAATGGGATGTCAGCAGTTGAAATCAGAAATATACCGAATTTGGTTTCATTCAACTTACGCGCTGGGTGACACGATTTTGAAGAGGTCTATGCCACGATTGAAATAGAGGTATGGAGTTGGTCCATTACTGTCGACAACGGTACATGCTGCATAGTCTCTATACAAATGGTTGCTATAAGCAATGAAGAGGAAAAGACATGAAGAGAAGGCGTCAGTTTCAAAGTAATAATATTGATAACTCAGTTGATTCTGGTTAGCAGTATAATTCGGGATGGACGTTTCCTCCTTTTGGAGACTAATTGGTCTCAGTAACTTGTTTGTCCCAATGTACGATTCTGGTGACAGTGACATCTGAACCTGTCATGCACTAGTTGAGACAACGAAGTCTTGTTGATTGTACTAATTAGGCATGATAGCCACCTGTAATGACTTCATCAGTTAGTTGTGTTATTTCTACAATACATGTATATGAATTTTGACTGTGCTTTACGGAGTGAAAATAAAACATTTTAGCTGGATATTGCTTAAAAGACTTACTAATGCGTAAATTCATCCAACGGATTGCTCCAATATTTCGACAATTCATTTATGGCACTCTAAATAAAGTAAAGGAATGAAATTAGAATTCACTTACATTGTGTAATATTTACAAGTGGTCATATATGAGTTTATTGGTCAACAGACTGGTTCGTTGAAAATGAAGGTGATTATATCAATCCCTCGTGAATTGGTAGATGCGCAATTCTCAGTAGTTTTCAAATAGGAAGAAATCTACGTGAAGTGGACTAAAGCTACATAGTATGCGCAGACATTACCTTGTTACTTCTGAGAGACTCAGTTTACGTTTAACAGTGTTGCTGAAGCCTGATTTGAAGTTTCATAAGATGTGAGTATTTGATGTCATGGAATTCAATGTTATAGTAGGAAGTGAGCAGTTGCTGGCAAAAAGCTGATTCCCAATCCACTCAAATTTCAGGTTAGACTACTGGCTGACACCAGCTGTAGAACATTCAAAAAACCATGGAGTATTGAACAATAGTTTCGTCCTAGGTCCTCAATTGTAACCTCGGTCAATGTGTGCGTACTACGGAAGAGTCAGTGCCAATCTACGATTGAACACCTGTCCAGTACTCCCTGGCGGCTTTGCGGTAACTCTCTAACTGATGTCATCTCATCACCAGACCTGTATCCAGTCGAATTCCTGCAAACTAACACCAACAAAATATTCAAATTCCATCTACATTCTAACCAAATTTTTAACTGCATTTGGTCTGTTTACCAAATATCGCTCAAATAATGTCGGCCAACAAGAAAACATTTAACTCACCAAGTTATAACGCCAAAATCTAGTGGCATACGAACAATTCTCGCTCATCCAGTCAAGCTGAGGAACCAACCTGAAATGAAAATAAAGTTTCATAGTCTTCTCAAACATGTCCGGAGGACTCAAACATTTGTTAATGGAGGTAGTTAGATTACTCTCACCAAGAAGAGATTTCTCATTTACTAGGATATGAACGACACTTATCTGTGCGAAGCGAGCTAGTGACACTGTCTAGTTGAATTAAGTACAGCGAGATTCGAAGTCGATACTTATTGGTTGAAATGTGAGTATTTGAGCCAGTGAGCGACATATGTGTGAATTTCCATCCTGCACAGTGACTCAGATTTTCTCTATTTCTTATGGTGCCAATCATTCGATGATGCTTTCAGGATACAGAGTGTACTCAGGCACATTTTTGTTGGCTTTCAAACTAGTGGTGCTCTTTTCTCGAGGATGAAGGAGAAATATCACAAGGAATCGGTTCATGCTTCAGATTGAACTGTGTACTTTAGACTGCTATGATACGTGAAGATCCTTGGTAAATGGAAAATATTCTACAGTAAACTACGTTGAGAATTCTGTATATTGTGTTAATGTTTTGTCGCAAATAAAGACAGCACTACTGTTTAAAGTAGTAGTAGTATTACTATTTTCACGTCTTCATTACTTTTGTCCATTACTGGTTTCCGGTAAAGTATGCCAGTCGAGGCAAACGACCGTCAAAATGACCCTTTACAAACAATAAGAGGAGCATATTTCAAAACACGCAATTCGAGAATCCTCTTCTTGGGAATAAAAGTGATTGTTAAAGGCAGCTGTGCAAAGTAGCAATGTCTAATATTTTCTCGGAATGTCTCACAGATAGCTAGATAATTACCCACAGAGTCTTCAGTGTTAGTCCGAACCAATTTCAGTGCATGAATTCATCAAGGTAATTCTGTTGTGAATGTGGCCGAGTGACGGTGACTGTCTTTAACTCCTCCACATCTCACAAAGTCAACTGCACATCTCGGTGAAATCATTACCTAACTTGCCATTACATTAACTTATTTTAGTGCTTCCTACAATACGGTACCGAATAACTAGATCTGGATAAAACCTGGAACACAATTGGTGTACTTCATCCAAATTCGCACGTGTTCACTACGAAATTGTCTGAGTGGTTGTTCACTGTCATTTTGATGGTCGTTCGCACGAGTCACTATTCTTTAGCCTAACCCCTAACAGCATAATTATGTGTCATTTTGAAACGATTATTTCAAAATTATTTGTTTAACTGTCCTCGTACAAATGAATTCTTCACAATCTCTAGTGTTCAGAATGAATAGTTTTAGCTCTAAATAAAACTATGAATGTCTTCGCTGATTGCACACAACACCCTTGATTATCAAGCACATCCATCAATTATATCTGCGCACTGTTAATTCCTTCGATCAATCAACTCAGGAGAAAGTGACAATCATGATAGCAAGACATGATGACACGGCCCAAAATCTCAGTGGCAATCACCCTTGTCTATTTTTCTGATTGTCATGTGACGACTGTCGGTTAATTTTGAGACAGCGGATAAAAACCATAATAAGCTAATTAGCTATGATACCAGAACAACAGAATTCGCCGATCAAACTTCTCGTTGGTGCCCTTCATTAGGTTGCCGGCCTCACGTCGACGTATTTGTAGGCAACTCACCCGTGATCTGATTGATTAGTGGATTTCCGTTTGCTGACAGCATGACCGATCAGTTATTACCGGATTTTCTCTGTTCTCTGCTAACACTCATCACATAAGAGCTCACTATGTACCTCTCTTATTACATTCATTACCCTTTTGTAACTGTAGAATTCCTACACATTTCAGAAAACAGACGAAGCCATTACTAAGTCATCCCTGTTTTAACTACAGTGATTCACAGGATGAATATACCTGTGAAGGAAATAAATCCTAAAGGACATGTACTCCATTTGGATATGATCAGCATATCACATTATCAATCCTGAATACCCAGTTGCTCTCACTACAAAATTCAACCGATTGATTGATTGACTGAACAAAAAGTGAATAGAGAAAATTGACAATAATATCATATCGACTATTTGGATGATTACCTGAGTTTCGAAATGTCCCATCTCTGACCATCTTCTATATGGCACTAGAAGTGGAAAACAAAGTAAAAGACAATTGATCAAAGAAACAGATTTCTACACCAACGAAGTCATCTTCAAAATTAAGGCGGTATGGCAGACATAAACGCAACTTATCCATCTCCTCACTTATACCAAAACAAATTGAATATCTTTACGCTTAGTAATGCAGGATGTGAGACGTTGAGTCAGAGGTTCCAGAGTAGAGTGCTGAATCAACGTCTAAGATGTACAATACGAATGACACAACGCCATTGTCATAGATGTGACAAATATTATCAATAATCAAGTTAGAGGATAAGAAATGTAACCCCAGTGAGAAGCAGCGAGGATCACATACAGTAGATTTTGTAACGAGATGAGAGTTTATGGGTAGCCATGAAGCGCACCAGTAGAGACAGCAAGGAATAGGGCGAAATGCTGGTGCGCTACTGAAGCCGTGTGTTCCACTGGAAACTCAAGGAAAAATCCATCATCATACGTCCTCACAACTTAAACTGTCTTTACACAAGTGAATATCATCACAAATATTCCAATAAATCTAACCACACATACACGGAACATCAGAAGTGAAACTGAGACATGAGCGACTGAAATGATAATGAGCAATGAATTCTGCTCGGAACGTCGTCAATATATATCACTAGAGGACACTGTGACACACTATCAAATAAATGTTCTCAATAAATGAATCGCATTCTACTACAGTAGTCAAGTTCTATCCTCATATGAAATTGAGATTGTGTTGTATAGTTAGAGACTTTGGATCACAACAGAACTCAAATAATTTGTCTAGACCTTTTAGTTGAGCTGGTATACCCCAGGGTCCAGGGAACCTGATTACTAGGGTTCCAATCACTCCCTTTCTATCGTTACTGATTGCAATCAATCTTGTGCCAAAAGGTCTTCAGACAGTGAAGAATTTATCCAACTGGTCTTCAATGTATGAGGAACGATCGATGAGTGAGTCAACTGACTAGAGGCAGTTCCTATTAGGTTGCTAACGCACATTGGTAGACATACGCAAAACACCTGGCTAGGTGAAGCCATTTCTAATCTTCATTTGGAGTGCACATGTTTAATAAATGAAATATGGAAATTACAATCAATTTTGACAATAAGAATGATTTTGATCGAATACATTCACATACCTTTCTGTGGTAACAGTGAGTCGGCAGCCAACGTACATGCAGTAAGAAGGTCTTATTAGCTTCAGTAGAGATCAATATACTTTGGAGTATGACCAATGCACTCAGAATTAAAATTCTGTGAAGGAATGTGGAAACAAAAGAAATCAAGTACTAGAAGGAGTGAATATATTTCAGTTGAGATGATCGTTAATATGCTCAGAGTCATATGTAAATAGACATTGAAGGAAGCCAGCCTAGCCCAGCCTTACTATATCTGTCATCGGTAGTTTTGCCTCATTGTTCAATGCGATTAGAATACTTTGGAAACAGACACCTAATCTCTCGTCCATCAATGAATCAATTCACTTCAGACATGCGCTAACATTTGAACATGCTTATTTTCATTAGATTGCGAAATTTGGCTCATATGTCAGGGGCAATTTTTCGATAGACTGCTGATGAGTGATCCACTATCAGATTCCTCTACCACGAGGTACTCAAAGTCAGACGTCTGTTCAGAAAAGGCAAACAACAAGGAACTCTTGCAGACTATGGAACAGCTAAGAATATTTCGCGTTACAAACATGCAGTGAGAAGGATTGAGATGGATTGAATATAAGCGATGAGCAGATATTGAAGTGGCATTACACAGAAGGTATGTCGTCGAGTGGAACCAGCTAAAAGTGACAGAAAAGAGTAAAATGCACTGTAGATGTAGTATTGAGGCCCTACTTTCCACTGGTAACTCACGAATGAGAATAAGTGAAACAGATTCGACAGTGCAGACTGAACGCTGCCCTGAAAAGGACATATCCAGCCGCCAAGCTTGTATGTGTTTATCAAACAACTAGTTGTTTGAGACAATCAAAAGTGGACAATTACCCACCTCATGTTACCTCCAACTGTGTCTACCAATTTACATGTAGGTGCCAAAGCACATACATGGGAAGAACAGAGAGAAGGGTTATTGTCCGCATTTCTGAACACATACCAAAGAACCTGAGACTGAAAGGTCCACAAGTATTTAACAGTGCAATTGCGCGTCATCTATTAGACACTGGTCATAATGTAGACAACTTGAAGTCATTCAAAATAATCAACAAGCAAAAGACACTTAACTTGCTAAGCTTTGCTGAAGCAATTGCTATCAGACGACTTAAACCAAATCTATGTACGCAGAAAGAGACAGTGATGAATCTTCCACTGCCGTGGTGGCAACAAAAAAATATCCAACAGCTTGTTTTTGTTTCCAAGCCCAATTGCCTAATTATTCTATAAATATTTATAAACTGTCAAATATTGATCACAGTTCATTTGAATTATTCTATAAATAGTAAGTGTTTGTAACTCTTAATTAGTTAAATCATTCCGGACTAATGTTACTTTTACACTTCCTACCAATTACTCCTTGTGATCGTGGGAAATTATGTTCAAATCTTTAATGTAATGTAATTCATATTTTTCATCGTTCAGGCTGTAACCAGTTGAGAAGAATCCTCGAAATAATAAGAGATGAGATCATATTATCCTGGTGCAATTGTTGTTCTTGCTTTGTTCAAGTTTATTAATAGGAAGAATTGCACGAAGTTTTTAGAGAATATGAATTAACATGCATCAACCAGTAAATGTGTAAGCAAGTAGAAACGAAAGGTTGAATTGCTATGAGAAGTAGATCCTTCCCAGGTGTGGTACGATAAAAGAATGGCGTTGGCCAGAATTCCGCGTGAGCAGAAGTGATTTCTCAACAAGCATCGCCTCACTTCAGTAGACAGTTTGAATGCATGGAATTGGATTCAACAATGTTATCTGTAAGCTGGTGCACTTGTTTTCATAGGTCCCCACCATAAAACGCATACACTTAGTTGACCGACAGTAACAGAAAACAGTCTGTAATGTGTATAATACTGGTTCAATGGTTCAGAACAAGAATGTTATCCAGCCACAGTACAAGTCGGTGTTTGATTCACTGCCACGGATGAACTCTTCATCCTTGTCTAGTTAACTAACTGGCTTGTGTGTTATGGTCGGAGAAGAGGAATTGTGGCACGTAAATGCGACTATCAACCGTAACACGTAAAAGTGAGGAACAACACTACCACGGAAACATCAGATCTAAAAAGGCCTACAGACATATGTTCTAGTCAGAACATAAGGCAACAAGAGAAGTATTGTGTAATATACAGTGGGACAACATTACTAACTCACCCCATTGTTCGACAGATTCTAAATTGTACAAAATCAGTGTTCAAAGTCAATTTATATTTGAAAGTGAATAACCGTGGAAACAGATTTCCAATATCAACGTAGACGTTGTCAAAAGAGAAACAGACGACAATTGAGGCAATTATGAATGATCAAGTAAGCACAAGATAGATGGTTCGACCTAGATCGGAAACCTTCAGCAATACGAACATCCATGACTTCACTGGGAATGAAGTCGAAAATGCTGAGGCTCAATGACGAGCCTGTTGACTCCCACCGATTCTATACCACTCCCTCTCCCTAGCTAATGACGATTCTTCACAGAATCCGCATTACAAAAGTTAATGTCTCATTTGTGCGTATTCTAAATGAATTACGTTTTATAAGGAAATAAGTCAGGTGACTTGGACTGTGGAAACAGGTTTTCATATGTGTATTTTTAGACGGCGAGTTAATGGGATTGCATGACCCCTAAATCGTAAGGCCTTACGACGGCATTGGGAATGCTTGGCTTCCTGACTACATTAAAACTCCAATCAACGCTGAAAACTATACAACATAAGAATAATTATTCCTTAGTGATCATTGGAGCTAAACGACTACTTAAATATTGATTTGAGTAGTGTTATTAGTAGAATACCACAAGATGTGTAATGAAAATGTACTTGAGAGGAATTTCAATAAAGTGAATGAAAAGTGAATCACCAGTGGTTAGGTGTGGGAAGGTTCATGAAAGCCTGAGTAGAGCATAAAAATAACACACATACATACATACAAATATGAGCGACGTACCTTCTTGCAATAAGACGAACAATTCACGCCCGTGGCTTCTCTTCTTTGAGAAGACAAATGTTGTCACTATTTATATCTTAAACGCAGCCAATAGAAAAGTGCACCTACAGAATTCAGCGTAGACTGTTGATGATAGAAACTATAGTTCATTGTACAAATGTGATAGACGTAATAATGAGTAGGCGTCCATGTTATCAGGAGAACCAGCTCAAAATATTTACTTCTCATTAAAAATCTATGCAGAATTCTTTCTTTACTTCTACCTTGTTCATCTATAAAAAAATACTATACTATAGGTTCTTAGTGACATCTGTGAGACGTGTACTTACCGGAATAGAAACAAATGATAATTACGAGGTCACTATTATTAGTAATAGTTTAATCAATTATCGTTATTATTATTTGGTTCTTTTGGTAACAAAGTCTAAAGAAAGCAACTTGTCTTCACAGTGAATGGAAGGAGAAGCCATCGATGCTTCACACATTAAAATGTGTGTACCAGTTTGCAAGCCTTTGTGGAAGTTAATATATTGGATGTACTGAAGAACGTTTATCGGTCTGTTTTGCTGAACAATATCCCTGAAGGCGGGAGGGTGGCGAATACTGATCAGTAAATATGGTAGTGGTCACAAGTGTGAATCGCTCCGATCTGTAGGATAGCGACATGCAACCTTTTAACAGTTCGAGAATTAAACATTAGTCTGGACCCTCAACAAAAAAATAATAATAAGGGTTGCACAGATCTAGATTATAAATAAAAAAAGTGCTTTTGCTCCTACCATCTACAGGCCTGTTCAGCTTCTTGTCAAGATGCTACCCATTGGGCCGGACAGAAATTCGTGAGACAGGCCACTTTGTCCTACGGGTTCCAATTTTCCAGATCTTTGAATTCACTCCTCACTCAAATATCACTTACCTACCTCACAATGATCTTTTTATTTACGCACTATTATACTCTACTTTATGTTGATTACCTAGGCCATTATTAAAGCTAAACCTTGCTCATTGTCCATGTTTGTTGCTTGCCCAAAGTGTGGTTGCTTTGATTAAAAACACAACAACACCAATGTTTGAACACAGCTATTTTTTCATCGGAAACGTGATAGTTTCCATGCTTAGACCAATATGGTTAGCATTACACATTGCAAATGTATCGTTTCATTTCAAGTACTAAATAGCTTCTTCTTCTTGTATTTATCTTGTAAATATACTTCCAATAATGTATGATTCATAATTGCATTTTTTTTGCCATTTGAAGCTGTGCAAAATTTTCTTCTCTTCCTGAAATAGCGTTCAATCACGTGGCGGTATAGCACTCACTCAGATATACACTGTTCACTGGTTGACCATAACGATCAGCAGGAAACGGAACGAAGTTTGGGTTGTCGCTTAACTTTGATGGTGCCCAGTTGGTTATTTTTTTTTGGACCTGGGATATGTGGGTAAAAACGTGGGCACTTTGTCGTTTGTAACATGGGTAAAGTGGGAAAAAGTGGGCTATTTCAAAAATGACATGGGCAAAGTGGGTAATCGTGGGCTATTTTCAAAAATGACATGGGCTGAGTGGGAAAACGTGGGAAATATGGGAAAAATGGGAAGAATGATGGGATTTCGTTTTTGTAGCGCAAACATATCCAGGTATGTAATTACATCTGAAATGCATTACGTGAAGCAGATTTCAGCGTGAATATTATGCAATTAGCATTTTATCATTGGGAAGTAGCATTAAGACAAAGTTCGACTATTTCATTTAAGTCATTATAACACGTTTGTTTCTTTGAAGTTCAAAATCCGAAACCGCGATTTCAAACTCATTCTCGTGCACTCCTAACCTGGTAAGTTGTGTGATTATAGTGGAATGTCTTTTAAGCTAATAAAATGGATACTGAAAGTGAACTAGTACCAAGTGTTAGTAATGCGAATCCCCCTAGACGTCTTAGAAGTACTCTATTCCTTTTAATATAGCCTTGTGCTTCAGTTTTCTTCGAAAGAGAGACATGTCACCGATCCACACTTTATAGAAGAACTAAAAGATTGAAGAGGGAGTTGCTTGGTGACGTCTCCCAGATAATATTTCCTGAATTCAGCGAGGAGGCAGGTGAATGTCTACTAGATGAAACTCCATGTAGCGTCGTAGACGTGCAAAGTGACATGCAAATCACTTTACCAAGTGGGTTTCTTAGCATTTCATGTGATGACTGATAAGGTGATGCCGCGGGTGCTCCGTCTTCCCATGAGAAATGTTCCAATAACGCCAAAGAACGCAATTCAAAGGCAGAACTTAGGGCAACAGCCTTAAAGGTTATGCTGACCACTAAAACTTCCATTGTTGATGGTGTGAAGATAATGCGACTGTTCAAACGGCATCTTCCAAATTTACCAACAAATATAAGACACCTTCTCAAAACTAGCCAGTCATGCCCCTCCACTGTTATTGGTAGTGGAGTGTACTATCATATTGGTTTGCAAAGTATACTTCTGCCTATACTGAGTTCTTGGTGTCAGTTTGCACCTTTTGATTGCGTGAGTCTGCAGCTGAATGTTGACGGATTATCACTGTTTAACAATGGTACACAGCAAGTTTGGCCGATATTGGGTAGACTGGTGAAACCGTTTCTCAGTGATATATTCCTTGTTGGAGTTTACGGTGGTTTTCATAAACCGTCCGACTTCAATAAGTTTTTAATGCCAGTTGTAACTGACATGGAGCATTTATATGCACATGGTCTGCAAATCAATGATAGGCACATCGGTTTTCGACTTAACAATGTCATCTGCGATAAGCCTGCTAGATCTGATGTCACTTTTACGGCAAGTCACAACAGTAGGAAAGGGTGTGACAGATGTTGCGTTACTGGAAACCATGTTAACCGGCGCATGGTATTCAGTGATGTTCACAGCTGTCGCAACACAGATAATAGCTTTAGGAGTAAGGATGATGCTGATTACCACCGTGACACATCCGTATTTGAGAGACTGCCAATTGACATGGTTAAAAGTTTTCCATTAGATTACATGCACTTAGTCTGCTTAGGTGTTGTAAGACATTGTAAATTGTAAACCATTTACTAAGGTCATGACCTTAGTAAATGGTTTACAATTTACCATTTATAAGAACCTGTTCTGATTGCTCCTATAATAATTGAACAATTTAAACTTTTGAAAAATTATTAATTTATGATACTTCAGGATTGTAATTTATAACATTACTGATCTTGCCTGTAAAATGGCATGCATTTCTTGTAAACGTACCCGTTTATACGAAATATAAATCATTACTATTATTATTATTAAAATGACTATGTACTACCACATTTGGGACTTGTCAAGTAGATCTCGTGAAGATCTCTTTTTTAGATTTTGTCTTTACTTCCTTTAAGTTATATTTTACAATAGAGTCCCAGTGAAATCTGTGAGACGTGTACTCAACAGAATAAAAACAAAGCATGATTAAGAGGTCACTACTACTATTAATAGTATAATTAGTTAATTATTATTGTAATTATTAATTATTTCTTTTAGTAACAGTGTTTTAATAAAATGTGAAAAATAATCAGACGATCACACCATCATCGTGTGTTTGGTGAACTATGAAGCTTTGTCTGGGTTATACTTGCGTCTTTGAAGGAATTCTCTCTTTGTTATCGTGAACTTGACAATGGAATTCTTTTCCTCTCTTTGTTATTGAAATACACACGTGTTATTTTCTTTCTCAAGAATGATCCAGTGTTTGAAAGTACTTTAGTAATCAGAGAGAGACTCCGTGTGTGATATTGTGAAAAGAGAAAAGGCTTATGTAAAATGAACTTGCGATGCCGGATAATATTATTTTATTCACAACTTATTTTGTTGGTGGTAATTAAGTAGCATGTTTTGGATGCATTTAGATCTCACTAGTGGGTTGTACATGCATTACTATGCATGCGGTGACGGTTTATTCAATAAGTCGCATTTCTTCCTATTTCGTGGCTATAGGCTCGTAATGTTCTTTATGGGTATTTTGGTGTATTCATTTTCAATGAAGATGTGTCTGAACTGATACGAAGTAACGCGCGCTCCTTGAATACGACGTGCTTTTTCCTCTCTAACCGGAAAATACCTATTTTGTGAATTATCCGCTTGGGAAACCTGATATTCCTAGCCGGTGATTTAAATTCAACCATTACTTACATATTGAATCTCTGTGTGGAAAGTCCAGCTGTCTCGAATTACTGCC